TCCAGCAGCACTGATTGAGCCAAGAGCCCTAAGACTGAGCCTTTAAATCATCCTGGGGCCCGAAGAGCTTTTCCCTGCATCTCAAATGGGAACCATAAACCAGGCTGACTTACAGGCAGTACTCACTGGCCCAGTTGTTTATTGCCAACGTCCTTTCTGATTGGTGATGCCTGTTCTGTGCCCATTGTTAAATATTTGAATATCCCCCTGCTATAAACCAGTCTCAGGACTTCCAAACCTGGCTGTGTGCCAGAGTCTCTGGCGGGGAGAGTGGGTGCTGCTGTTTATAAGTTCCCACTCTGGGCTCCCCTCACCCCACCAGCCAACCAGGTCGGTGGGGCCTGGAAATCTGTCTTGTAACAAGCTTCCTGGGGGGTTCTGTCTGATACCACAATCTTAGGGAGTGTCTTATTTGGATTCTGCCAAAAGCAGACCTTGTGATGAAGATTCAAGTACAGATAGTTTATTGGGGAGGGGGATTCCAGGAAACACAGGTCGGGGAGTGGGGCCATGAGACAAGGAAGGGAAAGAAGGCATAAAGATGCGTTATCAGCCAAGTCACCGGTGTGGACAACTGAAGATAAATCCTGTTGGGAACTGTAAGAGCCAGTATAGAACACAGCCTCTGAGCTCTCCCCTGAGAGGTGAGGCAGCTGGGACGTTTATCTACCAACGCTTTATTCATAATCTTGCATCAGTTGTTCTTTGAGCACTGCTTCTAGGGTCATTAGTTCCCTGGCACTTTGGGTCTGTCCTAAGATGGGTAGAACCCCTCAGGCAAATAGTCCTGAGGACGTGGGAGGTCCGGCTGCTGTGTATGATCATGGCACGTGCTATGTGGTAGGCAAGGTACCAACAGCATCTGCTATTCAGGGCTGCCCAGCTCCCAGCTCCCCACCAGACAGGGGGCACCCAGCCCCTGGGAATTATTGATTATCCTTTCTACCACTGAAAAGAACTCCCAGCCTCATCCATTGCTGGTAGGAATGTAAATGGCACCACTGCTATGGAAAACAGTTCCTCAATAAGTGAAATGTAGAATTGCCATAGGACCCAGCAATTCCCCAAAGAATTGAAAACAAGTATTCAAATAAAACCTTGTCCACAAATGTTTATAACAGCACTGTGGACAATACCCAAAAGGTAGAAATAACACACACATCCATCTACTGATGACCGGATAAACAAAATGTGGTCTGTCCATTCAGTGGACTATTACTCAGTCATAAAAAGGGATTAAGTACCAGTCCATGTTATATAACATGGGCGAACCTTGAAAACATAATGTTGAGAGCAAGAAGCCAGACACAGAGACCACATATCCTACATTGCTATTCATGTGAAATATCCATATGAGGCAAATTCATAGACGCAGATCAGCAGTTTCCAGGCGCTGGGGGAGGAGGAATGGGAAGTGACTGCTTAATGGGTACAGAATTTCCTTTTGGGGTGATGAACTATTCTGAAAACAGAGAGTGGTGTTAGCTGCACCACATTGTGAATGTACCTAATGCCACTGAATTGTACAGTTTAAAATGGTTTAAATGATACATATTATATGTATTTTACCACAACAAAAAAGAAAGGATGAAAGGAAAGAGGGGAGGGAAGGAGGGAGGAGGAAGAAAAGAATGAACTCCAGGTATTCCACGGCCCGGGTTGCAGGATATACTGTCTATCTCTCAGATAGAAAACAAACCCAGAGGGTGGCACATGTATTCCAGGGCCACACAGCCAAGGATGGCTCTGCTGAGTGGCTGCTTCCAGGGGCACTGGACTGGAGTTGGGCCCCAAATTTTGGCCTCTTTCCGATATGAGTGGTACACACAGAAGTTGCTGGAAGCCATCCTGGTGGAAATGAGCCCTGCGGTCTCGAGAAGCCAAAGCTATGCCCAGCTTCTGCTAGTGGCAGAACACTGCTGGGTGGACGGGGGAGTATGTGCCCAGCTGGAAAATTGCGGGGCGTCTTGTCTTAAATGTAATATTAAACCGGTACCTTTAATTAGTACACTTAGAAAAGGTCACTGGCAATTACCTGGGACACAAAGAAGGCATGAGCAGGCAAGAGCCTGTGAGGAAGCCGAAAAGGACCATTTTGAGCAGCACATAATTGAGGGGAAAATGGATAAAAGTCCAGGAAATTACAGGGTGGGTGACAGCAGCTGATGGCCCCATCTCAGTCCTGCCTAGTGCCCCCCTTTTTGGGAGAGCCTCCTCTTCGGACCTGAGAAAGCCATTTGGGATATTGGACCGAGTTGTGTGACCTTGGCTGGAGGGCCAGCGTGGTTTTCCCAGAATCCCATCAGCCAGCTGGGAGCTTGGCCCTATACCTCCCACCGGGCTGGGCCCTGAAGGAGGTTGGCAGGTGAGGCACCCAGTCCAGGTGGCTACCATAAGCTCATCGCTGTGCTATAGACAAGCAGGGCCACTATGGGCCTCAGTTTCCTCATGTAGACTCTCCCCAAGGCATTGGGAGGTAGCTCAGTATTCCTCAAACTTTGTCACTAAAGGGCCCCTGAGGTTAACAGAAAGAAAATGTGTATCCCTGGAAGTCAGGGGGAGGCTGGAAATTCCTTTACAGCTTTAGGTTGTGTCTTAAAAAGTAAATGTTACAATATATTCCCATTTGCTTTAGTATAAAATAATTGCTTGTTATTGAGCAACACAGATGCTTTGGGAAGATGCACTTGTTTTCTCTGACTTCACATACTCATCTAGAGAGAGCACCTTACTGGGAGTCTGAGAGTCTGGAAACTTGGGTTTGAGTCCTGACTCTTGCTCACCATTGTACTTTGGAAAAAGTGCTAAATACCTTCAGTGTCTCCATCTTTAAAATGGGGAGATTGAGCTCCCCAAATAGTTCCTACAGTTATTCCAATTCTGCTCCATGATTTCACTCCTCCTCTTCACCTGCGTTTCACTTCCTCCCATTACCTTGGATTCTGCCACGTCTTATTCTGCTGTGTGACCTTGGAAAGGCTACTTTGCCTCTCTGAGCCTGACTTTCTAATCCATAGAATGGGTACAATGATGACCACCACACAGAGTTGCTGACAGAATTTAATGAGAGAACCCATGTGAATGGGCCTAGCACTGTGTCTGGCATATCATGAAAGTCCAATGATGCTCCAATATCTTCTTTTTCCAAGTGTTGGGCTTCCAGTTAGGGTCTGATAGGATCACCTCCTTGGAAGTCCTGAATCTTAAGTTCACATATCAAGTGTGGAGAGCTATAAAGTTGTGGAGAAAAAATATAAGCTCCGGGCCCAGAGTGCCTGGGGTTTGAATTCCAGCTCTGCCGTTTGTAAATGTGTGGCTGTCATAAATTACTTCGTCACTCTTTGTTGACTTATCTGTTAAATGGAGAGAATAACTGTAAAGATTGAATTAGATAGTACACGGAAATCCTTTAGCCTGGTGTCTGGAGTGTGGTTGGTGTTCAGAAATGTTAGCTATCATTGTCATGTTAGAACTGTCCTTTTGAAAGTTCACCCAGAAAAGCTCATTAGTAGACTTTTCTAGATAATGTTCCCAGAGTTTGGAATCCCTCCTTACTTAGCTTGATCATCAGAGCTATTCAGTAAATATGAGAGCCAGTATTTGGGGAAGCAAGGGTACCTGTCCCATTTTATAGGGAAACTGAGCCTTTGAAAGAAGTGATTCGCCGAAGGCCATGGTTCTACTCTGACCAGTGCTTTGAGAGCCATTTGAGAGTCTTCAGATGAAGACTACAGACCCTCTCTGCAGAAAATGACACACTGTACATTCCTAACATTTTGCGCAGTTCCTAGGGGTATAAGGACCTGGACTTCCTGAAGCTAAGGTGACTAGCTGATCCAATTGCTTGGGACCTCCTGGTTTACTATGTATCCTGCCTCAATCCTACAACCCAGGGTGGCAGTCTCCCTACTGAAGGCTACCTGAAGAGGACTGTGAACCACAGGAGCAGATGTCTTACACTGAGATTTCTTAGGTAGGGCTGTAGGCCAGGCATCCTGATGCCCAGGGTGACCTCTGGCCAGGGCTTTGTTTCTTGGTGAAGGGTGACATCTCAGTCTTCATCTTGTGAACAAGAACTCGACCTTGTCACCCAGTTCTAGACTGGAGTTACTTGAGGCTGGGCCACATCTTCCTAACCTCTGTGTATTCCAGTGCTTACCAGAAGGCCAGCACCTAGTCACTGCTGAAGGAATACCAGGTTTCGCAAAATATTCTGAATTAGAAAGGGTGCTTACCTTTGCGAAAGACTGAAATCCATATCAACTGACTCGGGGGGGGGGGGGAAGGGCAGGGGGATTATTAGTTCATATAGCTGAGAAATCCAGAGGAAGGAGCTAATATCAGGCACAGCTGGCTACAGATCCTCATACCATCAGGAATCTCTCTCCGTGCAACATTTTCTATTTTCCTCCTGGTTGGCCTCATTCTCAGGCAGGCTTTTCCTGTGTGGTGCCAAAGACAGCTGCCAGCAATGCCAATTTATCAACCCCAGTGGAAGGAGAGCTCCTCTTGCCCAGCAGTTCTAGCAAAAGTCCCAGAGCTGGCTTTGATTGGCTAGCTGGAGTCACATGCCCACCCCTGAGCCAATCATTGTGACCAAGAAGATGGAATGCTCTGATTGGCTAGGGCTGAGTTACGTGCCCATTTCGGAACATAAGAATTGAAGAATTGGGTGCTTGCTGTCATCTGAGCCACCTGAGAAGGAGGTCTCCAAGTTAAAATCAGAAAAGGGGAGTGAGCAGGCTGAAATCACAACCGTGGTTCCCTATTATAGGCGCATGCACACTGTGACATGTGACATGTGGGTCTCCAGCCCCACACAGGGTAGAGGTGGGGAGACTGCATCACAGCCAAAGACACAGGGTCTTCCAGTAGTCAGTGACCTGCTGGAGGTCTGTTGGGTGGCTGTTCCTTGCTGGGATTCAGCCACCTGAGCAAGGTGCTGAGGAACGGACCAACCTCCCATCTTTGCCCTCTTCTGTCTCCTTCGGATACTCCAGGTACCTCTGTGACCCAGTTGCTGGCCCGAGACATGGACAATGACCCCCTGGTGTTTGGCGTGTCTGGGGAGGAGGCCTCCCGCATCTTCGCTGTGGAGCCAGACACAGGTGTGGTGTGGCTCCGGCAGCCTCTGGACAGAGAGGTATGACCTGCCCGTCCCCCGTCCCAGTCCTTTCCTGAAGCGGGGCAGGAGCAGACACTGGGGGAGGGTGGGGCATCATCTTTTGGGGGGCCTTCCTCTGAGGCCTCATCCTGACCACGAAGCAGCACCTTCCTGCCTGGATGGTGTCCCTCCTAAATGGCCAGTGCTGATGTCTGGACTTGAGGTTGGAATGGGGTGGTTGGGGGGTGTCTCCAAGCAAGGGGCAACATTGGATAGGCAAGAGGTACAATGACCCTGGGTTCATCCCCTGTAGAACGGGGGCTCCATGGGGCATACAAGTCTACCCCCGCCCCACACAAATGTCCCTACAAAGGACGTTTACCAGAGATGCAGGAATTGATGACCCTGTAGCCCTTAGCAAATTAAGGTAAGAGTTTGAACAAAACTCCAACCCCTGCTCATTCCTTACATTTGAGGAAGTGGCCACAGAGGTGTCTAGCAACTTGTTCAAGGTCCCACAGCAATTTAGAGGCAGAGGGCAGATTAGAACCCAAGACTCTTGATTTCTAATCTGTTGCTTTTTGGGGGGAGACTCCCTGTTCTGAACCTGCTTCCCCAATCCAAGGGGCAATGCTCATTATTTTAGGGATGCTTTGGGTACCCCGTCCCAGACCAGCTCCTTAGGTCATGCTGGAGATCTCGAGCCCCACGCAGGGCTCAGGACACAGGACCTCAGCACGTCTCTCTAACTCCACCCTCCTTCCTTCCTCCTCTCTCTTTCAGACCGTATCGGAGTTCATAGTGGAGTTCTCTGTCAGCGACCACCAGGGGGTGAGTGACTCCTGAGGCCCCTGCCGCCCTGGGAGGATTGTTCCTGGGCCCCTGGGTGCGAGGAAGCCAGAGGCCCATGCCGACTCTGACCTCCTGCCTTTCTCTTGCCAGGTGATCACACGGAAGGTGAACATCCAGGTCGGGGACGTGAATGACAACGCGCCCACCTTTCACAATCAGCCCTACAGCGTCCGCATCCCTGAGGTAGGAGCCCCCGCGTCACCCTTGGGGGGACCTTGGGGACCTGCTGTTCCCAAGCCCCCTGGGAGTGGGGTAGGCGAGGGCAGGCCGAGCTTCTCTTCTCCTGCCCACACCTGAACCCGAGCACCAGGCCTCGGCAGGTTGAACGTGCTGGCACCTCTGAGGGTAGGCACCCATCTGCTGGTCAAGGCGAGTGGGTTGGTGAGAGCCTCCTGCCTGAGAGAGAGATCGTCTTAGATGAGCCCCACAACTCTAGCTGGAATCTGAAATCAGGGACAAGACAGAGGTTGGGAGGGGCAGGGGTTGCCCCCCTTTTCTTCCATTCATAGCCAGTGTGGGCCTTGGGCAGGTGAGCTGGCAGCCCTAACTCCAGGCCTTCCTGCTTTGGCCAGAACAGGTCCCCCCAGGATGGAGGGAGCCTGTGGTTCCAGGAAGGGACTTTCTTTCCCTGGCCCTGCACCCACCCACTCTCCCCTTGGCCCTCGGCCCCTTTGGGTTTTCTGTGTACTCTGAGCGTGTTTGCATGAGTGCATGCGTGTAAAACCAAGCCATTTCTGGTAATTGAGAAGTACAAATTACTGCATTACAAATGGCTCGTTAATAAGTTGGCTGCTGGCTCCTGATGGCACCAGGGTTCTCATTGCTTGCCGTCCCTCTCCCTGGTAGCTGATGACAGTCTTCTGGGCTGGCAGTTAGCAATTCAAAGGCCTCGAAGGTGGTGGGTAAAGAGTTTCTAACTGGGTGTCCCTCAGCCCTGTCCTTGGGGCCCTGGGCTGGGCAGCAGTGAAGGGTGCAGATGGGGATGATGGGAGATGGAACCCACTGGAGAGAGGCAGGTTGGCACCATGGCATTTGAGTTCTAGCCCCTTTGTGTTATAGGGCATTGGAGCAGGAAACTAGAAGAGTCTTTAGAAAATATCTATTCAGCTGCTAGATGAATAAACTGAGGCTCAGGGTGGGAGAGTGACTTGCCCTAGGTCACACAGCTTTGACTTGGAGTCCTGATTCCCGACACAGCCTTAGATTCCCTCAAAGATGAGGGACCTTGTCTCATGTCCCTTAAATTCATGTCCCTGGCCTTCGTTAATCAGCTGTGAGTCAAGGGTCCTATGCTTGTGGCAGACAGAGGGAAGGGAGGACAAGTGTGGGATGGGGACACAGCAGAGGCTCCCATGCCCATCCCCTGGTAGGGTGGGATATGAGGGAGAGCCCACAGTCCCAAGCATGGGGGCACAGTGACCTGAGCTATGGCTGATACACCCAGGACTGCAGCTTGGCTCGGGGCCCCCTCTCATTTGGAAGCCTCCCTAATTTAATTAAGGGTCTCTACGTGCCAGCCTGCACTCTGGGCCCAGGCTCAGAAACCAAGGGCACGGCTCAGAGTTAATGAGCCTTGGACCCATTGCTCAGCTGCCATTCTGGCAGGCATGGCTGCCCTCTGCCTCCTCACACAGGGGCAGCAGGCAGCAGCGATGGCAAGGGGATAGAGGTCATAACTCCCCCTCCCAGCCCTTGGGCTGAGGCCAACTCTTCCCTCCCGCCCTTGCCAGGAGATATAACCTCCACCACCACCCTGTTGGAATCCCCTGGGATTCTCCAAAGGCCTCTGCCTCCAAGGAGAGAACCTCTTCTGTCACTCATTTATTTAACAAATATTTATTGAGTGTCTGCTGTGGGCTTGGCACTGGGCCAGGCTCTCACTGCACAGAAACCTGGGAGACCAGAGGAATGTGCAAATGATAGGAACCAGAAGTAGCAGCAAGGGACCTCAGACCCTGCCCTTCCTGCTCCCAGATTGCTGGGTCTATTTGGGCATGTCACTTAACCTCTCTGGGCCATAGCCCTCCTTATCTACTGAGGCCTGCCTCCTGCCCATCTGATGAGGAGAGGGTGGGCTGAGAAAGGCCATCTGCAAGGACACACAGTCCTTGGAGGAAAGCCCATGTGCTCTATTTGCTCATGTGTAAACATCCCTGGATCACTTCACTAGTCTGATACTCGATCGGGGCTGCTCAGTGTGGCCAGTGGGGATGTGGTGTCAGCTGGATGGAGGCCGGATCACTCCTGACCCAAGGTGGCTTGGCACTGACCAGCCCTGGCCTGGTGTGGTCACCTGAGCTAGAACTTAGCTGCCTGACTCTGGCCCCTGGCCCAGAGTTGAGTCCGGAGTCTCCTGTTTGCATTGAGGTCACCCTGCAACCCCAGGCCCCTGCCCTTGAGAAGTGTGATTTGTGGCAGAGGCCCTGCAGCTTTGAACAGGGTGAGAGTGCAAACCAGAGAAACGGGGGACAGTGTAGACCCTGTGAAGCATCAGTGCTGAGGGATTGCCAGTGATCAGAGAAATATCAGCAGGCTTCCTGGAGGAGGTGGGTTTTCAGCACCATCTTGCCAAGGTGAGCAGTGGAACTCCTGTGTTGTACCAAGGGAAGTGGGAGGCTGCATGTCAGAACATCTAGGTTCTAGTCCTGACTGTGCCAACCACTGGCTGGGCAAGACGCTAGACCTGTCACTGTCACTCTGCTGTCTTCAATTCTAAAGGCTGTTAAAATAGGGAGTTGGGCCAGGCCCCTTTTAGGGCTGACCTCTGTGATCTGTAGATGAACCCAGCTCAGGAGGTTCCTTCTTGTCCCTTCGTTATTCCTTGAGCGATGGTGGAGAAGCTCCAGTGGCTCTCTTCTTGCTCTCAGCTACTCTCTTAGCCATCCCACCCACCTGTGCCCATCCCTTACCTTCCCAACCTCCACTCCCCACAGCCCTGGGGGCCCTGATGTATTTGGGTCTGTTGCTCAGAACCCAGGGATAGGCATGGAGAGCAGGTGACAGGGAGGCAAAGCCTAGGTCTACATGAGGAAGAACTTTCTAAATGAGACCCACCCACAGTCTACTCTCCTGCTCTGCTGAGGATGCACTGAGCTCCCCAGCCCTGGAGTTAGGCAAGCAGAAGGAGAGCCATTCGTTTCAGAAGACACCCAGTGCTGAGTGTCAGAGAAGTGATGACTCAGAGGCTCCAGACATAGAATTTCTGGGGGGGGTCTAGTTGGAAGGCATATTCCCAGATCCCTGCAATTCTGAATCAGTGGTTTGGGGAGAGCTGGCCCAGGAATCTTCATTTTTCACAAACTCCCCTGCTGACAGAGCCCTGAAGGATTATCTCTGTCGCCCTCCCCACCAGAGGGTTTCAGAGAGGTGCTGGGCAGCCCATCTTTGAGAAGAGCTTTCAGCCTGTTCACAGCTGCTTGGAGATGGGCTCCATGGGGACCTATATCGCCAGCCTGGAAGAGGAGTGGGTGGGAGGCAAATCAAGGCCAGGCTCTGTCCCTTTCCTGGGAGAAGCTCACCTGCCCCAGCTCGCCCACCCCTGCCCCCTCTCCCTCTGAAAGCCCCCACCCCCTGGCCTTGAGATAAGCCAGGCAGGTGTGTTTGGGTTTGTTTGTTCTTGGTTCCCTTCTTCCCACCCCTCTGCCCTCACTAAACTGTTCTCCATGTAATTATCCATTTTATCAGGGTGAAAGGCCCTGCAATTCACTTGTCGAAGCCCTAACGAGGCAGTGTAGATGCTTTCAAGTCCGTAAAGAAAAGGGAAATCCTGCTAGAATTGGCAACTTAATTCACCAAGCCAGCCTCGACAGACCTCATTAAGTCCCCGTGTATTCATTTCAGGCTAATGGCTGTCATGCTGACTGCTGTTTGATTTGCTGTAATAGACTTTTATGTCGTCCCAATTTGCTCAAACGTGTTTGCCTGTGTCGGTGCCCAGCAGCGCTGCTCCACTACCTCCGTTCGGGGTGCGTGCCCGCCTCGCTGACCTTCAGCGCGGCCCCATCCAGCCCTGTCCCCTTCCTCCTGGGGCCACCCCCTCAGACCTCCCTCCAGCTATGCCCTGTCCTTGGCACCAGGGTGTTTGGCCTGGAGGATGGGTGTGAGATGAGAAATCAGATGGTGCAGGCAGCTCCTTGAATCAAGGAGTCAAAGGAGGGCCTTTGGAGTCTCAGGGACCACCGTGTGTCCTTGAAGTTCTGACAAGTTCAGCCACCTTGGCTGGGCAGCCGAGGCTCTTCTCCACCTGGCCTCAGCCTACCTTTCCCAGCCTGCCTTGTGATAGTGCTCCATATGAATTTTCCTGTCAGCCCGGGGGTCGATTCAGTGCCTCGGAGTGTATGTCTGTTTCTCCTTTCTCTCGCTCTGACACACGCAGACACCACACGGTTCTCACGAGTACTGGAGTGTTTTTTCTTCTCTCAGCCTAACTCAATTCTGCCTGTCCTTCAAAGCCCAGGTTGACCCACGGTGCCCCGATCCAGTCAATTGTTCTAAATGAACACAGCAAACATTTGTTGAACAGCTATGGAGCAGGGCCCAGGGATTCTATGCCGACGTGTAAATGCAGGGTAGAGAAAAAGGACTACTGTCTGCCAGCTGTGCAGCTTTGGATGGTGACTTAACTTCTCTGGACCTCAGTTTCTCATCAATAAGATGGACAACAATATTTGTCTTGTGGAGTTGTTGTGAGAGCTATAGTAATGCAGGCATTAAAAGCTCTTAGTGCAATTTGTGGCACATCATATATTCAGTAAAATGCTGGTGATTAAGATAAGGGTCTTTGTCCTCAAGGGAGGTAATTTTAGAAAGAAATACAAGTAAGTAGATCTCTAACAACATCTAAATGTGTTAAATGTTATGATAGTTTAGGGCAGCAGTTCTCAACCTGTGGGTCGCGACCCCTTTGGGGGTCGAACGACCCTTTCACAGGGGTCGCCTAAGACCACCGGAAAACAAAAAGATATTTACATTACGATTCATAACAGTAGCAAAATTACAGTTATAGAGTAGCAACGAAAATAATTTT